GGTGGCGGGTTCAGAGTGCACGCGACAAGGTATGCCTAGCAGGCGCTCTAAACCCGAAGCCATCTGTGCACACCATTCGGAATGAATTTATAGAAATGTTCAATAAACATTCCCAAGATAATCATAACGCTTAAATTATGTAGTCACAAGCACAGTACACATACACCAGTTTTATCCCATCTAATCCCTTCATAAATGGCGTTGGGAACGGCGGCACTACAACGAAAGTTTGTGATTGGCACAGCGGGCTCCATGGGCTAGCTGCCGAGAAGCACAATGGTTGAAATTTGAACCAGTGCGTCACTTTCACTATACACCACGTACTACTTCGTTCAACAAAGCTCAAGTATACTTCGAAGAGAGCCACTGGAGTACATGCCGTAGGGGGGAAATCAAAGCCGTCACATATCGATAAGACAATAGTAAGAGCCTAATTCCTCGGAGGGAAACGTGGAGATTGAAGGTATACATTGGTCGATATTTCAGCAACATGCCTTTATCGAAACAACAGCAGAAGTAAACTGTAAACTGCCTGCCGATGATCATACTCGATTTTCAGGTATTTTTAAAGCAACAAGTCACAGTTTTTACAGGACACTAACATTCAGGGGATTAAAGAAAGAGGGATTGCCAGCCATACACAGTGCATAGCCAGCCATAGCCATACAGTGCATACCTAGGAATTGGAATGCATGGAAATACCTATGCATGCAAACGAATTCAAGCAGGCATCACATATCGCACATCAGTTATACATGCAAGCAATTTCAATTGAACAGGCATCGCACATTACGCGTTAGGCACCACTTGCACATGTACACGATTTTAAGCTATCAAGCATCACACATCAACGCACATATCACGTTCGCATAATCGTCCATGATGAGCGTTGCACGTTAAGGTTTGGTCGCCGACTTTTTGGAAGAATAGATTCACATATTTTCCTTTCTGGCTGGTCCTGTGCTCTGCAGACGACTTTGAGGTCAAAAAGGGTCCATGCCTCTCTCGATTTAAGCCTGAGCGTGCTTTGTCTAAAAAGGGCCACGGAAAGTGGTATTCTCTGTTTTGTTTAGCGTCTCACAAGTGTTTGTTGTATTTCAAATGTCTAGGGCAATTGGACTCCCCGACAATGACTATGTCGCTCCCATGTTTTCTTCATACAGTTCACACTTGATTTCTTAAACAACGTTTTGCTGCATGCAAACCCTTTGAAACCCAGACTTGCATAACTTACATCTATTGCTTCCCGGGCACTTAGACTTTGAGATGGAAGATTTCACCAGATAAGTTGTTTAACTTTCTGTCGTCCTTTCAAGCAGTGCCTACGCACGGTTTTGATTTTTAAGCATTAGCTTTTACCATTAAGAATCCGTCGTCCGATGCGACGCATTCCCCCTCCTACCACCCATCCTCCCACGCGCTCTAGCCTTTTTACTTCTCCGAACATTCTACCTAAAAGTCGCGGGTTCTATCTTCATAAGTCTGCAGCGCCTATAAGACCAGTGACAGCTGCGCGCGGTGGTCCTACATAAAAAAACTGCGTGTCTTTTAGAGAAAATGCCTCACCAAGTCACTAACGGGTGAACTGTCGCTAGGTCTGCAGTGCTGGCGGGTGAACTGTAGCGAGGTGTGAAGCGCTGATGGTTGGACTGTCGCTAGGTCTGGAGCGGTGACGGAAGGACTGTCGTGAGGTCTGGAGCGCTAACGGATGAACTGTCGCTAGGTCTGCAGCGCTGACGGTAGGACTGTCGCTAGGTCTGGAGCTCTGACGGTAGGACTGTCGCTAAGTCTGCAGCGCTGACGGGTGGGCTGTCGCTATGTCTGGAGCGGTGGCGGGTGGGACTGTCGCTAGGTATGGAGCGGCGGCTTTTCTATTACCGACTCTGCTCTAATCTTTTCAGATGTTTACCTGGAGCTGAGGCAGTACTTCACGAGGGACATAGCCAACATCCTTGGTGATTGACGCTTTGAGGGAGAGCCCAGCTGTCACATGAACCAAATGGAGAGATTACCGCTTGTTGTCGCCAGCTGTTAGCTAAACAACCATACACCTGGACACAATAAACTACCGTAGTAGTGGACACTCCTCTATGAAAGAGTTCTCGGTGCCATGCGTCTCGTTTCCCAGAAACAAATAAAGAGGCTCGAGATAAAAATGCTATAAAAAATCCTGTGTCTCGGGATTTGAGCCCATCTCCCTCGTCACCGACCACCTGGCACCGCCGCTGCTCCGCCGACAGAGATGCTGAGGTCTGAGTCCGCGCTGCTGCCGCTGCTGTCGAGCACGGCTGACCTGTTCATGGCCAGCGAGGGGTATTCATGCCAGCAGTACCGGCTCTGCCAGCTCGGCCAGCTTGCACGACGCGCCGGTCCACCTTACAGCGTGGCCGTACCCCTAGCCAGGTGTGCTGCGGGAGGGGGGGGGGCAAATGAATGGGCCTTTTCAGCATACTGGGCGGGAGAAATAATGACTGCAGACGGGAGGGCATGACACTGTTGCGTGCAATAGAACTTGCATATACGGGGAACACCGACGCTTACGTGTTAATCCATCGAGTTCTCCTGAATCGAAATTGATCACACCTCGTGGTGGACTCAGTCCTTCCTGCAGCAGCAAAATATACAATATAGTCGTCCGAATAATGCATTATGCCAACGAATCGACTTTAAACGCGGGAGCTGCCAACCATTTGGGCTACAGAACGTAACAGAATCGTCAAGGTGCATTCCTTAGTGACCCGTGTGTGTTTGCAGCTTTCTGCTTCTTTCTGTCTCCAGCCTGCCATTGTCCTCAGAATGTGCGGCGTTGTGCTGACCTCTGTTGCCCCTCTTGTGGCCTTTGGTGAGCAGGATTGACCTCAGTTGACTGTCCCGTGCTCCATCGTGACGCTGTCTAGACCAGCATGGTGTGCCACATGCGCACCTGGTTACAACTAGTGCATTTGGTGACATCTGGTCATTGCGCGACCTCGGTGACGGGCCCCTCACTGCTGCAGCCTGCCGCTATCCCGGATAAAAAGCAAGTTCCAGGGCTCCGGGATCACCGACCTGTGCTGGACGATGGCCTCCATGGGCCGGACTACTGACTGCCCGACCATGTACTGGAGCTGCTGAGCTGGCACGAGCGCGGCCGGCTCGCATGCCTCTAACGCCAAGTGCACGCAATGACAGGGGCTATCATTAATTCGCCGCCAATCATCACACAGTGACTTGCCCAGGACCTGGGTACGTTCTCAGCTATGGAAACTTTGCACACTTGGACGAGACTTGGATACCACTGCCATTGGATGCCGCCTTCGAGTTGGCACGTTCGTCATGTTTGGAGCTGTAGGTACTGCACCTGCATTGCCCAACCGGATGAATTCGCCGCTTTTTAAAGCGGTCTGTTTTATCCGGCTTACGGTCGCAGCTGTTCATAAACTTCGGCTTATCAGAATGGTATACGGTTAAACTTCGACAAGATGAAGAGTAACCCTTTGGTAGCTACCTTACACAAAATTCGGCACATATATACGCCAATCAGACTGAAGCTGAGAGACGTGGACACGTCAAAGCAAGATTGAGCAGATATGATACGATGTCACGTCACGCAAGAGCGTTTGTGGACCTGTCTGTCTGTCTGACCGGTCCCATCCGACCTCTCTGTCTAACCTATCCGTCTGACCTGTGCTGTCTGACCTATCTGCCCGACCTGTCTTTTCTGTCTCACCTGTCCTGTCTGTCTGACTTGTCCTGTCTTTCTGAACTTCCATTTTCGACCTGTTTGTCTGACCTGTCTTGTCTGACCTGCGTTTCAAAAGTGGCTTCGCGCTCGTTTTTCGGTTTTTTATTTCCTAAGAACAGACATAGAATGAGAAGATGCTGTCGGACATTATGACCAAAAGCTGCAAGGTATATCAGCCTGTAGACGGCATCCAACTAGTTGTTAATGCAATATTTCGTGAGTGTCCAGCAAGGCCATGACAAATTTGCCAAAAGATCCATCGCAACTTATCTTTACCAATGCAGCATGCAATTTGAACTGCATTACCACTGGCTGTGCGTACCAGGGGGCCCTAGAAATACGAGCGCACCGCTATGACTGCTGCAACCTTGATCCCGCTGCAACAACGCCATTGAGAACAATGAATATGCCTGCTGCACATGGAAGCTGCATGACGGCGCTCATGTCCATTCAACCTCCTTCTTTCTAAAATTCAGCTAGCCCTGTCCACTGCTAAGCTTCCAGAAGTATCATGCACAAAGCCATGGTAGAGATGGATGCTGTTGTCAAGGAAATAGTGGAAAAACATCAGTGCGTTCAGCCAGGCGCTTCTGAAACTCATACCAGTGGGCATGAATCACATCACATCGCAGAATATCATGGCGTCAGGTCCGAGCGGGCACATAGCCAATTTTTGTAAGGAGAGGGCTGAGTGCAAACGTTAATTTTTCTCCAAAGTCCGGCAAATTCGGACAGAATTCCTGCGCCACTACTCAACATGTGGCGTAAATGTACGATAGTAAAGGCATTCGAGGTTACACAAAACCTCACAAACAGACCTCGTCGTGCAAAACAAGGACATCGCCAAATCTTGCCAGTGCTGCCAACTTTCCAAAGTGTGCTGGGGTCGGTCTCACTGCTCCCGCTCGAGACATTGGGGGCGAGCGTCGAGCCTCGGTGCCGTTGTGGCGGTCGAGGTCCACCTCTTCATCTTTATTCCGGCTTCTGAGCCTCCCACAGCGCGGAACAACCGCCTCTAATGCATCTTTATGATGGCTCTCCCAGTGCCCAGCCCCCAATGCTCGACCGCGGACCAGTCATTCCAGCCAAGTTGTGAAAACCGGTCAGATTCGCGTACCCGCCGCCTTTTCGCTCCAGCTGCCGTCCTGTGGTGTCTTTGACATCTCCCTGTCGGTGCAGTGAATGGTGGTGTTTATAAAGCGAGCTGTCCGCCGGCTTTGTGCAGTTGGAAGTTGGTGCGGGTCTGAGCTGTGTCGGACCTATTGCTGCCGACGTCATGCAGCGTTTTGTGGCGGCTCTTCTGCTGGTGGTGACGGTGCGAGCTCTTCCCCAGGACATCGAGCGGGACTCAGGCGGCTATGACATGACTGGAACCGGCTACAGCGGCTCCAGCTACGGTGAGCGCCGCCGCCGAGCGATGGTCTCGGTGTGACTACCAACGACAGACGCCCATCTGTGACGTGATGGTGTGACGCATCACCCTTCCTCTGTGATGCACCACCCTCCTGCTGTGATGCACCACCCTCCTGCTGCGATGCACCACGCTGGGAGCCACGTGAAACAAACCGGGTTGCCCGGGCACCGGTGTGTGCTTTTCACGCGCAAGCTTGGCAACGACGTGTGTTTTTCATATGGGAGCATCCTCGCCGTCGTCAGGGACGAGGGGTGGCAGGCGGGCCAAGTCTGCTGCACGGTCCTGCCGAACCCAAGGCTCGACGCTTAGGTCAAGATGGGGAAGTGTGAACGCCCCTCTGACCCTCAGAGGCTCGGCTTACTCAGAGCCAACCGCAGAGTAGTGTCAGCTGGAGTAGCAATCAGGAGTGTCACTCTTTAAAATCGGTTTGGGGCGGTTGCTGGGGGTGGGGGATGGGGTGGGGGTTGATTGAGCTAGCGAAGTTGGCCTAATCGGCCTTAAATGCAGATATCTTCCCAGTTTTCGTTTACTTCGATTTTTGTCCACAGTCTTAATACACAAATTATGTGGTCGGTTCCAAAACTTTTTTGATGCTGAGAAATGGCATCTCAGTTGAGACCGATTTGAAGAATGCTGAAAGGTAATAATAATGGCGTGTGCAGTGTGCCAGCAGTTAGCACACTTGCTGCATTTCATGGGCCCAGTATTCCTTTTTGTGCTCATAGGCATTTGGGAGAGGAATGCAGAAGAGCATTGCGAGGGCTCAAGTCAGCATTGAGGGCTCAGGCCCTCCGGAAGTGTACAAAGTGTCACCTCATGCGGCAATGGGACGATACACAGACGAGAGTGCGCGCACATTCGGCACAGACGAGACTTCGGCACAGACTTCGGCACAGGCGAGAGTGCGCACACATTCGGAGGACGTCAAGGTTGTAGTGACGTACAGCGATGGCCAGTGATTACCCGGCTCATTGACCTCACGGCTACTATCCGTGCCGTACTACGAAGCGAATTCAAGAAAACAGGCACCACACATCACGCTTCATTGAAACATGCAAGCGAGTTGAAGTAAACACGTATCACGCATCGCGCATCAGTTGTACATGCGAGCCATTTCAATTAACAGGTATCGCACATGACGCGTCAGGCATCATTTACACATCTTAACGATTTTAAGCTAACACACATCACACATCATGTCACTTATCACTGTCGCATAATCGGTCATGATGAGCCCTGTACGTTAAGGTTTGGTCATCGACTTTTTAGAAGGTCAGATTCACATATTTTCCTGTCTGGGTGGTCATGTGCTCTGTAGGTGACTTTGAGGTCTAAAAGGGGCATAGGGTCCATGCCTCTCTCGATTGCAGCCTGAAAGTGTTTTGCCATAAAATAGTAACCAAAAAGGTATTTCATGTTGGTTTTTAGCGTCTCACAGGTGTTCAGTATATGTGAAACGAATATGGCGAATGGACTCAACGACATTGACTATTTCCCTCTCATTTTCAAACTTGTCTACATGACATCTATTGCCTATCCGGGCACGTAGAGGCTTCGAGACGGAACATTCTTCACCAGATATTTTTTGCGCTTATTTTCGTTCTTCCAAGCTATGCGCACGCGCATTTTAATCATTAACAATGCGTTAATTTGCAAAGCAAATTACAAACAAAAAAGAGCTACAAAGCAAATAAACTATGTAAGGTAGCGTCAAGAATCCGTCGTCCAATACGACGTATTGCCGCCTCCTACTACCCATCCACCACGCGGTCTTGACTTTTTAATTTTCTCCAATATTCTACCTAAACGTCGCGGGATTCTATCATCATAAGTCTGCAGCGCCCATTGGACCAGTGATACTGCGTGCGGTGGTCATACAGAAAAAAGCTGCGTGTCTTTTAGAGAAAATACTTACAAGCTCCTGAGGTTTTTATCGCACGCGTCGTGAGAGAGGGCAGTATCTCCTTCTCTGTAGATGCTATCAATTTAGATGGCAATATGCCAGTCAATGCGGCTATTACTGCCGTGAAAGTTGAAGTTTTTGATTTGATTTGATGTTTATTTTCTATTATGGACATCAAGCAGTACGTATATGACGAATGGATTGGCGCATAAGCGAAACGCTTAAGATCTGAGCGTCTCTCCCAGCAATAACAGATATGGTCATCGCCGCCAGGGAACCCATGACACACCGCCCACTCGCCCGATCTGTAAGCCGACACGGTCCAGGCGCCCGCTGCCACTCCAGTCTGTCTACACATATAGCCGTCTCGGGCCGGCGGCGGACGCCCGGGCCGGCAACGCCACCCAGTGGCCCGTCTGCTGCCTGCGCCCGCTGGAAGTTTTTAGGCGAATCGCTTGGTTTGAAAACTAAACGTTTGAAAACTTTTGCGATGTGCTACTCATTGCGATCCCGTAAACCGTCACCTCTGAGATGGATCCTTAGTTGCTCGTTGTGAGTGACCTCAGAAAAGTTTAGAATGATACGATCTGTTTTACGTAGCATTGCAATTCGGATTTCATGATAGCAGGACAGTTCAGCACAATGTGTGACGAGTCAGTCTTTGCCGAACTCTTGAATGATATGTAAGTCGTGTTGGAGTGCCGCATGTACGGTAACTGGGTCGTGTGAGTGAGCTGTGTATATTGTACTATCGTCAACAAAGAACAATACGTCATTGTCAGTCTTGTCGGCTAGGTCGTTAAGATATATAAGTGCAAGGAGAGGTCCCAGAATAGACCACTGCGGGCACCCAGCATGTTTGGTCAAAGGTAACAACGTCCGCCTCCGTCCACGGACGTGCCGTGCGAGTGCATCACTTGTAGCAACATCCGCCTCTGTCCACAGACACGGCGTGCAATTACGTCACCGGTAGCAACTCCCGCCTCAGTCCACAGACACGGCGTGCAATTACGTCACTGGTAACAACATCCGCCTCTGTCCACAGACACGGCGTGCAAATACATCACTGGTAACAACATCCGCCTCTGTCCACAGACACGGCGTGCAATTACGTCGCTGGTAACAACATCCGCCTCTGTCCACAGACACGGCGTGCAATTACGTCACTGGTAACAACATGCGCCTCTGTCCACAGACACGGCGTGCAACTTCGTCACTGGTAACAACATTCACCCCTTTCCGCAGAAGTGGGGCGCTGCCGATGATACCGAACCGCTGGTTGACAGTGACAGTACACGTTGGTATGTGAAAAGATGCCGAAGCGAGGGTCGCCATGGCAAAAAGAATTAATTCCACTGATTCTTAGAAGAGCTGTGATCTCTTCATACCTTGACATCCCCCACACACCGGAGGAATCATAGCTGGTGTGTGAAAGGTCACAAATTGTCATGATCCTGCTCTGGCGCTATATTCTTAACCATGACATCATTGTTTCCCAGCAAGCACAGGGTACGGGCACGAGGTGTGCGACAATAGACTGTTCGCACCTGAACTTGGTGGCGCTGGCGGCGGTTGGAGCCGCTCTCATCGCCCTCGTCAGCTACATGATATATCAGGCTGCCGCGCGAGAACCTCCTCTGGACGGTCACTGCAGGATATGTGCCGCGGGATAGGTGGACAGGAGAGAGAACAGAGAGAGAGAGAGAAGAGAGAGAGAGAGAGAGAGATCAGAGAGCGAGCTTCTACGAGCTCTCTCTCGCTCTCTCTCTCTCTCTCTCTCTTCTCGCTCTCTCTCTCTC